CTGTCATAACCATGCCCAGTAGTTTCAATAACTGCGTAACGCCAAGTTGTGCAAATTGGGCAAGGATACAAACGAGTACGAAGTATGTAAGTATGAAGTTTTTCTTCATAACCTGATTATTAAAGACAAACGAACAGCCGAATTATTGGGCTATGACGTTTCTATTAAAGCAGTCGAGGTAGAGAAAGCGAGAATACTAGAGAGCAAAAGAAGTATGATCTTTACTACAATCTCGAAAATGAACTAGAAATTTTCCAGGCTACAGGTGAAAAACACATAATATCTATCTGTCTTGTCTTAAATGCATTAAACGCGATTCCAATCACATCAATTGAATCGGAAAGGGGTTCTCGGTAGCAGGACTTTTCATTACTACATTAATAACCAGACCGACTAATCAGAGTATCAACCATCTTTGCTTTTTAAAATCTTATTATAAAAATTTACAATATTTTGTATTATATTTTATTTAAAAAACGAAATTACCGTCTAATTTAAAAGTTTAATCTAAGTTCATATTTTTAAATTTCTAACTCAATTCAAAACATTATTTTTTTGTTGTATGCAGTTTCCAGCATACTTTAATAAATTTTTCCTATTTGTAAAAATTTCGACGTAATTCAAAGGCAATTTTGATATATATCTTACACAGCATTAGTAATATGATTTTGGAGGTTACAGAACATATTAAATTACTTTAAAAACCGAAAAACAATTATATCATTTGATTTCATGATATTTTGTATATCTTAAAAATTATTAATTCTATCCCGGGATCCCGGGAAACTGTTCACTTTTATCCCGGAATCCCGGGACAAGCAAAAGACCCGGAAATGAGAAACCCTAGACACGACCTTCGTTTGTCTGTTTACCCCCTGGACGTTTAACCACCAAAAGTAAATTGAATCAATGCCCTCAATACAGAAACGTTCCTAAAAATTTCAAAATTCTGAACAGAAAGCAAACAAAGGAGTTATTATGCTTCGAAAAAGTGAAAATACAGTCGACCCTCCTATAATTACGGTCCCTATAATTACGATTCCTATAAAACTACAAAAAAATATACGTATTTTGGAAATGTTGAGTCGGATTATATTTTGTCTCGGGACTTAAAATACATTCATGAATATGAGAGAACGAAGGCAGAAAAGGACAAAAACGTGGTTTGCATGTCTGACATTTGAATATTATAATATAAATAAATTATTATATTACAATTAATTTAAATGCTTAAATTCTAATGTAATAATAATGGCGACGAAATCACATAATACGAGGTAATCGCAATTAAAAGACTCCTATTACACAGACATTTGATATGGTGGCATTCGGACACGTGAAAGAATTATCGTAAAAAATAACAAATTAGTACCAATACCGCCATTGTGGTAGATTTGGTGCTGCAATCCGTGTGACTTATTTATTCATGAAGTATTCTAGAGAATTTTCTATGGAAATTTTTGTGTGTGAACATTTTTAAGGGGCAAATCACACAAGGTAATCGATAGCTCTTATACTTAATTTTAGGAGAGGAAAATAAAATATTAAATAAATTCATAACTAGAACGAGAAGTGACAAGTTTTCCACGTGTATGACAGATCTTCGTTAAAATACCACAATTAAGTAGTGACGTTAACAGCTACGGGGTTTCAGATGACCGAATTTAAAGAGAAAAAACACACAAAAAATACATTTTTAATTCTAATAAATTTTCGATAATTTCATATTTTCCCTTAAATTATACACAGGAATGCGATTTAAAAATACGATTATCGCCATACTCGGGAAGGAGACTTCTTCTATCGATCGACTCCTCCATCTTTATTTTAAAATACACAGTATATTTTAATTTGTATACATTCGGAAAAAATTAAAACTAGGTCAAATCATTTTTTGTTGATAAACAATAATATAAACACATAAATTGGGTTGATGGATGCACGGGAAGTAAAAATTGGGGTAAAACACTTATCAACAGATGAGTTTCCATCGCATAAATTCGTCTATTTATAAGTAAATTTAGATTTTTATACAGCATTTAAGCCTCTAGAGTTAAACAATAGTAATTAAAATGATTAGCACAAATTTTACTTAAAATAAATTCATTTATAAAATTTAATATGGAAGAATCATGGAGGACCTCGATCGGTTTTTATACATTAATTCGGTAAGTCTCAAACATTGTCCAGCTTGGTTTGCCAGAATTGCGAAGGGTACACATGTGATTCGTGTATCAAAATAAAGCTCTTGCCGTATATTCGAGTCAATTGCAATCACAAATAAAAAATTCACAATCGTTTGGGCGTGGCGGAGAAACAAAGATACAGTGTTAGATCTATGGAAGAAACATGTCGGACACTCGAGCTTCATCTAGGGATTTAGTTTATTTTAATTATTAGAACCCATTGCTCATTCCTATTCTGAATTCCTACTTTATTGGTAATTACACGTTAATTAAAAGAAGCATCTTCCTCATTCACGGTACGAGTATTTTTTACTATTTGTATAACGTGGTATCCTTTACGAAGCTTGTCTAAGTGTGCATAATATGCCCGATGTGCATTTTATCTGCAGACATTTCGACTTGATTATGTGAAAACAGCTGTTTATAGAAATACGCAAAAACTTCCCGTTTGAATCCCAATTACTTTAAAGAATCTGTCTAATGTCGATTGCTTTTCTATCTTCTTCAGGATTTTCAGAAATAATTAATAGCATTGTAATTGTAGAGATCCTCAATTCAAAAATTGTCATCCGCTGTTTGGTATCTATATCCACATTTTTTCCATCAATAGCCCTAAACAGTTTATGGAGACTTTCATAAATTCCAAAATTCAGAAGTAATCGTTTTCCATGTACTTCGGTTGGAATGGCATACTTCAGACTGCAGCTTTGTAATGATTGCCATACATACATCACCTACCAACCAGTGGAATAGCGTGGGTGTCAGCCGCCCGGGGCGGAGGAAAATTTCGCCGTCCCCTTAAAAGACTAAAATTCAATTTTGTCACAAAATAAGTAATAAAAAATTCCGTGCTCATTTCAATGTCAGAATCCTAGGTGCGACAAAAATACAAAATGAAATGGTTTAAATTTTTACAAGATATTATTATTATTTATTGTGGAATTTTGCCGCCCCCACTACGCTACGCCACTGCTACCAACGACATATAACTACTAGACCCCGAATCGGATAAGTTATGTAGAAACTATTGTCACCGTCTGAAGGCAAAGAAAGTAGGCGCCGTCTTAGACTGTCAACGCGGTCTAAAAAATACATATGCCATGGACAAATTGTTGTGTGCTGACTTATGGTAACTATTTCTGGCGTAATTGCTATTTATTTAGTCTCGAGTGCACAGGAATTGTCACAGAATCATAACAGTAATGCCATGTGCATTAGTTACTTTTTTTTAAAACTCTTTCCGCCCTGTGGGCACTAAGAGGGCCTCTTATAGCAGGCCCATTATGGGTTCGGCCAGGCAAACAATGGGGCGACCGGGTGGTGAGCATGGGCGTAGCGAGGGGGGAGCCTGGGTGGGCACGGCCCCTCCCAGGGAACCTGGTGCCCTCCCCAGGAAATCACAGCCGAAAAAGTGTTGAGTCGATTTGTGAAAACCTAAAGCTAAAATAAAAGTTTTGAATACTAAAAAAAGGTGAACGGCTTGCTCGGTGCCCAATAATGAACAATAATTTGAAATAATTCAATTTTGTGTCAGGTTGGCCTCCACTAGGCCCCCCATAACAAAACTCTGGCTACGCCCATGGTGGTGAGGGACGGGGTCCGACATATCAGAACGGATACCCCCCGAAAAATTCCTGGGGATTTCTTGACCCGTCCAGATTCGATCCCGGGTCCCCCAGAGTGGTAGGCTGCCACTTGTCCGCTCGGCCATCCGGCCGTTCGCATTAGTTACTGTGCAGTTAATTGTACAGAAATATATAAAAAATGATCAGGTATCGCGTTTCACCGGTAAGTTAAATATAGGTCTAGTTGTTCTGATACTATATCGTCGGTTGGCGATCAAAATTTCGTAACTCCTTCTGAAGAAATTTTTCTGGAGAAACATTAAATGCAATAGATGCATTTTTTACTAACATGGCACAGAGTGTTAAAACATTCTACAATATTAAGCAAAATTTGGCCAAATCAAGAAGAAATTTTATCCAAAAATCAACCTACAAATAGAAATTTCAAACTTACAAATATAAAACTAAACTCGAAAATTCAACAATTTACAAACTTAAATTCCATTCATCAGTTCTACCGGTAATGTTCTGAAAGAAATGTCACAAACAATGAGTACTATCACGACTAGAATCATCGTCATGTACTACATATTATGAAAATTCTTCCCCTGAGCCAGATGTTTAATCTATACTAATATTATAAAGAGGTAATGTTTGTAAGTTTGTATGTAGAGGGTAATCTCCGAAACTACTCATCCGATTTCAAAAATTCTTTCACCAATATTTAGAATGGAACTTCGGGGTGGACATATATATAGGCTGTATATTATTCCGTTAAACATTCATATAAATTAAAAGATATAATCTAGGTTAAGGCTTTTACGTCCAACAGATGGCGCTACGAGTACGACGCCCTAAGTTTGCTTTTCTGTGAAAATGAACTAAAGCAGATCATCTTCTATCTATCTATATAAATAAAAATGTAATGTTCGTTTGTTCCTACCGATTCCTTTGAAATTTTCACACAACGCTGCATTCGAATACGCACGTGTTTTTATATAATATACCGTACATGTCGAAATTCCTCCACTGGAAGATGGACAGGATTAAGGCTTACCGTAAAGATACTGCTTCTATTTATACTATTTTAGATGCCGTTTTTTTGCGTTCTTGATTGCGTTTTAATAGGGTACGTCAAGAGAATGTACACTAAGAAGGGATTTTTCGAAAAATTCTTCCCCCCACGAGGGAAGTGTTATACATTTACAGTATAATAGATACATTTTGAGCCACAACAACTCGTGGCGGGGTCTGCTAGTTTACGAATAAAGAGAAAAACTTTTGTTTTTTAATTTTATGTTGTGTTTTTATTATTTTATTTATTTTCAAACAAACTAAAAGTGTTTATAATTATTAATAGAGTTATCAAATTTAGTTATAACAAAATAATTCATTTAAGTACAGTTAGTTTAAATCAGTGTTTTTCAACCTGTAGGTCGCGACCCCCAGGGGGGTCGCGAAGCCTTACACGGGCAAGGTCTATATAAGAAGGTCAGGACACGCGTGACCTACTTCTTGAGACGCCATTTTGGGGTTTTTTGAGTCGCGTGTTTTAAGCAAACTTGTAGGAGCAGTCACTTTTATACGAAATTAATTAAACTAAAATTGCATAAATTTAGTGATTTTCAGTCAAAAATATAATAATAATTTCGGATGATTACG